TGTAAGTTTGGAACAGGATTTCGTATTCTTTTAATCCTGACACAACTCTCATCAATTCTTTTAGCTCACAACAACTACCCTCTCTCTTTTCCATTTTAGTCTCAGCACACAAASCCTTTGTATCTAAGCTCACTCAGATATGGTTGTCCTCTTGGGTAGGTCTGTCGGTTKTGACATTCCATAGAGGTATTTCTGATAAGCACTCAGTCCCTCCTAAAAGTTTAGAGTTATGCACATATGWWCATAATGGATGATCAACAATATTATTTCATTAAAGCACAAAGATCAGATAAAAGTTTGATCAATTAATTTGGCTTTAAGCACAATCAATAAAGAACGATGCGACAACAATTTGATTATTCTGTATGTCTGAGATAAACGAATGAAGATCTAATGAAGATCTGTAAGAACAAGTTTACAGATTCTGATATAAAAAAAATGAATGAATATGAATCAATCAAAGAAAATTATAATATCAGAAAACAATTTTGAATACAAACGAGTGTATTATCAYCGAAAATGATTTTCGTATAAGAGACGTGATAATAACAATTTGAAGAATAGCTGAAACAGGTATTGGAATTATGTACGATGAGAAGTTACGCAAGTAAAATCTCAGGAAATACCTGTTCAGAAAATGTACTCGTTTTCCCCAAAAAAAAAATTTATTTTCTAAAACCAGTTATTGAACTTTCTAAGGAAACTCCCCCTAGAAAGTAGATTTAAGTAATAAATCTTTTAAGCTCAAAAATGAAATGAAAAAATTTTAAGCACGAGTTCTAAACTGGGTGATTAGAAACCACAGTTTGAAGTAATGTACAACTCCCCCTGCATTGGTGTATCACACAAAATGATATTCTGATTAGCATGAAATGGACACACCTGCAAAACCAAATCAAGTAGATTTTGGTACCCAAACGAACTTGGGTCCTAATATGTTAGTACTTGGTTGGGGTATGTTGTAACTACCAAACCATTTCTTTCTATAGGATGTATTATTTTCAGCACTATGAACAGGATGACCAGGATTAGAATATGAATTATATAAGTAATTGGGATCATACCTGTTCTTACCTCTCCAGTGATTCTGATAACTGTTATCTCCATGCCACCTGTTGAACCGTTTATTATTTACAAAATCATTAGTAGACTTCACAATGCAAGGAAGATTGTTAGTACCAACAGGTGTATGAGATACAACAGAATCAGACTTACTAACCCATATGCTTTTCATCTTTGAAGAATAATTGGGTGATCCAATGACATACCCTT